CTCGCAAGTTCGTTGTCTGCTTTTTACAAATTGATACGTTCTTGGACCTAAGTCAAATTGGTTTGAAAACACTTTAGTGGGTGGGTGGTTTCACATAATGGTGGTGCGCGGCAGAAACTGCCTTACCAAACGCTCAGTTGTTTAACGACGGACGTCGAGGTGATGAAGACCTAATTCAAAATTGCACTCTTTTACCTAAAGTTAGTAATTTATAGGATATAAGTTTTCGCATCTTTTGACAGACATTTAAATATGAATAAGAGGCATTGACCAAAGTCACCCATGGATTCATTCTCTTTACAAGAAATTTCAGTTCCTATATTCGTCGCATTTTGATAATAAAAAGACAGCATTGATAACTCTGAAATTTTCTTAATATTTTTTAAGAGACGAAACAAATTTTGTTTTTCCTATCAAAATTTAACCTTATTTTGTTGCCTCTCCATTGGAGGTTGGCCGTCAGTCTCGTCACGCGTGTATGGTCCTGTGCCAGATGCAGCAAATACCGCAGTCACAACACCCGTCCACTCGCTAACGTTACGAAGCCATGTATTTTTCCTTCTACCAATAGTTAACCCTGGATTATACCATTACACATGACCCAGAAGGGCGTTCCCATCTCAAAAACTACTCGATCTAGACCCTGTATCTTTTTTTATTGTTATAATTATAAGTTGAAATGCTTATGTAATAAATATAAAAAAAAAGAACAATAAAAACAATTATTAACCTTAAAATATTAAAAATAAAATATATAATTAAAAGGAGTCCCTTTAGGCAAGGTTCCGAAGATACTGGCAGCGTTCCCCCTTTGAATAGCTAGACTAATTCTTTGTCCGAGGTAGCTGCCAGATCTTCGGTCTCCTGTGATGTCGACTAACCTTTTTGATATTTCCTTAAAAAGCCTTATAGCGCTAGGACCCCACGGACCAAGGGTCTCGACACCGAATGGCACAAAATGATATTTGGGGCCTAGACCCCTGTATTTGCAGGCTTTAGCTTTTTCAGCCGCATCACATGCCGCACCAGCTCTGTTGCTGATTCCATGTAGATGGGAAGGGGCCAGTTTGTCTGAACAGGTTGCATACCATACCATTTTAGATTCGATTTTGATAAATCTGGGTCTCTTAGTTGGACTGGCTTAATAAAGAATTATCTCGATATCTTAGTTTCCAAGAAATTTGTCGATCATCATACATACACTTGCGTGATCGCACTTGGAAACTTAAAAATAATTATGGGATTCCAAAATTATTCCACACACAAATCCTATTTTGAAGTCGTTTAGATATTACAACAACAAGAATAAAGAATGATAGCAGTGCAAAAAATATTTATTATAGATTCTCGGTCTATAAAACTCTTTCTAACCCATAGTAAATGAAGTTCTAGATATATTTTCAGGATTTTATAGGCAATTATTACATAGAGGCTAGACCAAGGTGAAGTACGCATATAGATTGAATCAATAATCGTGCACCTATTGTAAAACGGCCTTTATTACAAAACTTCAAATCCCGATTTTAGCTCATAGAGTTTAACTACATCCCATGATACGATTCATTAACTACCGCGATTAGGTAAAGTATGGTTCTAAATGACAAACAAAATATTCAAAGGCCGGCAACGCACCTGTGGTGATTCGGCTACTGTTACTGCCTTTAATGGGCGTCCCGTGATTCGTTTACAACCCTATTTTATAAAACTTAGAGGCTTTGTAATCAGTTATTTGATATAAAAGTGCGTTTTTGTTGTTTTTTTTAAATTTGAAATTCGTGTCTACTGCCATACATTAAAGAATGTATAAATATTAACTGTGTCGATTGATTTATTCTGTATCGACAGTAGGTTCACTGTTGCGAGTCCCTAAGATCAGAGTGAGTGAAGCGCGAAGGTCAGGCCGATGACCGGTGCGCAGGCGCCGCTAGTGACGTCATCATACGCGCTCTATTGCTGCAGCCGGTTGCCACTAACTGAACTTCAGAACTACCGTAATATTCAATGTTTTGCTGTAGGTAATATTATACGTCTATAAGAAATAAATCCAATTAATTCAATTATATTTTTGCAAGAAAGCAAAACACGTTTATAATTCGTCCTTACCATACTTAATATTAATTATTATTTAAAAACTCAACTGTCAAACAACAATTTCTATTTAAAAACAATATTCAAAATACTATGACCAATATCTTTATATTTTTATAAAAAATAATAAATAATTATTTAACCGTAATATTATAAAAACTTGTGACAAAGACGTCAAAATTGTGGCATCCATATGTTTACACTTTACTTACATACTATATTATTATTTTAAATTTAAAACAAAACATTATATGTTGGTTGATCATTCATACATTAAAAACTCCACATATGCATTAATTCTTTTAATGGAATATATTTAAAATATATTAATTTTAACTGCACTTGTGAAAAGCTCCATCTAGCGACAATCGCCCAAAATAAAAACTTGTTTCACGGGCTTTGTTATTTCCTTTCAAAATATTTTTGTAGCGTGGTGTATGTGGAACGACCATAAGTAACAATAATTCCTTAATTCTTAGTCAAGGCTTTAGCAAAAACTTTATCAATGTACAACATATGTAACAACTTCGTCATGTAATCGTTTCATACAAAATATAGGTTCTGATCCTAAAGACGTATGTAACGTTTTCCATACATCTACCGCTAGTATTCCGATTATATCAAACTAGCTGCTGTGGTCTCTGGCAGAATGACCAGCACTGTGGAGCTTTCTGCTCCTCAGCATAATGCTGAGCCAGGACCAATTACAACCACAGTACACACACATTGCACACTTGAAGCGAACCGAATGGCAAAAGGGAATTTTTAATTTTAATTTTATGTTATTGATATGTCTTATTTTATTTTTTCTTCGAGTATTGTTATTTTGTGTGTTTATGTGTGTGTGTTTTCGTATGTAATAAATGTTATGTCTATATATAATGCGCTGAGAGCGCGTTTAAGCCTCAGGTCTGACTGATTTCAACCATAACTTGAATCACATTAAAACAATACTCGACACAGTTTCCGTTTGTAAATAGGAAGAAAGCAAAAGTATGCGAGTCGTCTACAAGCGATTATTATTCCGCACGCTCCCACCGCTATTGTTTTGTTCAGAACAAACACGCCGCCTATACACGTTCTTAGAACGAGATATCACCGATATATCACAATACCAGAACTGTGCAATTATTGTCACGTTGAAGAAGAATATTTTTTGTAATAAAACATACAAACTATGTACTAATAGCAATTGCGACTTCACCGCGGTAATAATAATACCAAATCGTTTATGTGCAAAGAAAGTGGATTTAGATTGATTACTTATAAAAAACCACATAATCTGCCATTTAGAAATATGCATTAAAATGTCATATTAATTATCGTAATGTCAATAGTTAAGTTATTTATATAATTAAAAGAAGTTTATTATTATTGAAAGCTCAGTAGCTGAATCTTAAATATATAATTCGGTTTTATTTATAAATCTTATGATTTATTTGACTTGTCTTATGACCCCTGCATGGGGCACAGGAGCCTCTATCGCGCTCGTGTAGAGCAGTGTTTCCCACGCCCCCACAGGGGTGCAATGTGATTATTAAGATATTTGATTAGTGTCGAAAATTTATTAAAATTATTTGGAATTTGAATTTCAGTTATTCAATCTATTTTTTTTTAATCCATCTGCAATCAGCCTCTTGGCTTTTATCAGATTTTATAGAAATGATGGCAATTAGGGAACGCAAATCCAATAATTTTTATTCCCTCCGTAATTCGTAAACTGTCAGACTGTGGCACGTTTCGCCCTTTTTAGCCGATACACACTGTCCGTCGTTTCCAAGAGGCCCAAAGCTAGGGGGTTGACGTGTTGCTGAAGTCTCATTTTGTATCGCACGGTTGATCTTTTAATGTCTTCCTCGACAGTGGCAATTCCCAAATATTTATGGACTTCAGCATTTCGTGTTAACCACGGCGCACCGCTCATATTTCGCAGTGTTTTGTTTTGTTAAATTCAATCTATATTTTGAAAATTTACTTTCTGTGTTTCGTTAACAATTTCCTAGTATTTTTTTTAAACTTACCATTTAAGATTCTTTCATATTTAAAAATATGTATGTTACATTAATTTACAAAAAACGCATAATAATTTTAGAAACGCTAAGGTGCGGGCGCAAAAATGTTGGACAATACTGGTTTAGAGCTTCTCGCTCCAGCTTTCTTTGTCTCATCTTCAACTGTACGTCGCGGTCGCCAGGTTTGCTTGGGACCGGTACGCTTCCGCTTTCTCTGTAGGTTCCAATCCTATAAATCTATACAAATTGACGCCATAAACTTTATTCACAATATATTTGTGCCTGTAGCCTGACTTGTATATAATATATATTTACAAGTCAGGCTTTCATAATTGATCAATGGAACCGTCTGTTTCTGTAGATCTGAAATACCCTAGATTAATTTTGTTTTACTTTTATTACAAAAAAATTAAAATTAAATTAAAAAACCCAACGTTTTACCGTTTTATTAATAGTTTATATAATCAGCGTATTTTGTTTTCAGCGCTTGGAGTCTAATCATCTTATTGTCTGCGCTTCATGAGGTATGTATTACATTAGTAAAAATGAGTAATTAAAATTAGAAAATAATATTTAAAACATTATAAAAAGGTGTTTAGGAACTCAGTTATTTAAATACATTATAATGTATGTTAATGTACTTATAAACGATAAATATTATTTATTTCTTAACTCTGTGTAATATAAAAAAAACTCCGAAATTAAATATAAATATTATTATAGCTAGACACAACAATTAATATACAGAACTAACCTATATCTTCTAAAAAGCCAATGAGGATGTTTTTATAACTCGTAAATGTTTGCAATTTTGTTTGAAATTAATTGAATAAATATTATCATACAATATACAACAACTTAATTTTGATCGATTTCTTTTTACAGACAGCCGGATGAGGAATGGCGAGTGCGCGCGCGCTGCTCTTGCTGGCGGCGCTATGCAGCGCGCGCGGTGCGGGGCCCGGCCCGCCTCAATTTTCCCACACAATTTACAACGTGAGCATACCGGAAAACAGCCCACCGCGCACCTTCGCCGATCAGCCTGCCGGCACCGTGGCATTTGGCCTGCGCCTTCCAGTACATGGCACGCGCGTGCGCGCTCGTATCCGTCACGGTGACCGCGACAAACTGTTCAAGTTGGAAGAACAGGTAGTGGGAGACTTCTGCTTCCTATCCGTGCGCACACGCGCCGGGCACACAGCTGTGCTCAACCGTGAACGTCGCGATCATTATATGCTAGCAGTACGAGCCACTGCAACATCGCCTGATGGATCTCAATTTGAGGCTGACACGCTCGTCGCCGTCACTGTTTCTGACGAGAACGATTTAAGTCCCCTTTTCTATCCTACCGAATATGAAATATACGTGGCCGAAGACGCTCCTCTGCATTCAAGCGTCCTTCGAGTAACAGCTGAAGATGCGGACTTGGGAATCAACGGTGAAATTTACTATAGCCTGGCGGAACACACGGAAATCTTTGCGATCCACCCTACCAGCGGAGTTTTGACTGTCACGCGAAGTTTATCTTTCGCGGAGAAAACACGTCATGATATCGACGTGCTGGCACACGATCGAGCGTCTTTGCTGTCCCTAGGAGAAAAAGCTTCTGCTGCAAGAGCGTCCGTTATAGTTAACGTCAAACAAGCAAATTTATATGCTCCAGAATTAAGTGTCAGAAAACTTCCCGAACTGATTGAAAATTCTACGACCGAAACGTACGCTATCATAGAGGTGACAGATCGTGACGTAGGTGAACATGGTCGAATCGCTTATCTCGATATAGTGGACGGGGACCCGGACGGTCACTTCAGAATACGTCCTTCTTTGCAACCGGGTCAATATGACCTAGTCGTACATGCCCTTTTGGATCGGGAGAGCGCGCCTCAGGGTTATAATGTGACTTTGCGTGCCACCGACGCTGGACAGCCGCCACGCTCATCCTACCTCACCTTACCCATCACTTTAACCGATGTTAACGATAACGCGCCCGTATTTAGCAGAGAAGTGTATGAAGCTAGCATTCCTGAAACTGCACCGCCTAATACACCTGTGATCAGACTAAAAGTGACGGATCGAGATGAAGGACAAAATGCCCTAGTGTACATTGAAATTGTTGGTGGAAACGAAGGTGGAGAATTTATTGTCAATCCTGATACCGGTGTTTTGTATACGGTCGTTCCTCTAGATGCTGAAGAGAAATTTTTATATACTCTTACAGTTTCAGCCATTGACCATGGAAATGCCGGAACTCGGAAACAGTCTTCGGCAAAAGTAAAAATTTCAATATTAGATGCCAACGATAACGATCCCGTATTTGAAAAAGATGAAATGGAAGTAACCATCGTTGAGAACGAAGCCAGCGGAGCTATCGTTGCGAGAGTGGTTGCTCGAGATGCTGATTCTGGAGAAAACGCGTACATATCGTACAGCATCGCCAATTTACAACCGGTACCTTTTGAAGTCGATCATTTTTCTGGTGCAGTTAGAACAACACGACTATTGGATTATGAAAGTATGCGTCGGGAATATACATTACAAATTAGAGCCAGTGATTGGGGCTTGCCATACCGGAGACAAGCTGAAATGAGACTAACTATCCGTTTAAAAGACGTCAACGACAACAGACCTCAGTTCGAACGTGTGGATTGTGTTGGATACTTACCACGGAGGCTTGCTATTGGTCACGAGATCGTAACATTGTCAGCAATCGATTTCGATTCTGGGGACGCGGTGTCTTATCGAGTTGTCGGCGGTAATGAAGACAATTGCTTCTCTCTCGATACTACAACGGGAATATTGAGCTTATCTTGCGACCTTAGCGATATTCGAACTGAAACAAGAGTACTCAATGTAACGGCCACAGACGGTACCCATTTCGCTGACGCAGCCTCGCTTACTCTGCACTTGGTTGCTGGTAATACTGTTAGCGGTAGCGCCGACCTGAGCAGCCTCGAATGCCGTGACACGGGTGTCGCACGTCGTCTTACTGACGTCCTTGCCGCTGCTGAGCGCAGCAACGCCCCAATCGATTTCGCTGAGGACTTTCCGTTGGCTTCGTCACGATTCGGTGAGAACTTACACTTTCCAGAATTCGTTGATTTTCCTATTGAGATAAAAGTGAATGAATCTGTTGCGCTTGGTACGTCTCTGGTAAGGTTGCACGCTCGGGATCGTGATCTCGGGTACAACGGCCTCCTGGTGTTTGCGATATCGGGAGGAGACGCTGATTCCGCCTTCCGGATAGATCCTGACACGGGAGAACTGAAAGTTATTGGCTACCTAGATAGAGAACGGGAAAACGAATATTACCTGAACATATCAGTATACGACCTAGGCGTGCCGCAGCGGTCATCGTCTCGTCTCCTGCCAGTTACTGTGTTAGATGTCAACGACAATGCACCTCGTTTTGAAAAGACCCTGGCTAGCTTTCGGGTTACTGAAAACGCCATTAACGGAACGGCGATATTTAGGGCAAATGCGACGGATCGAGACAGTGGGGACTTCGGAAAAGTAAGATACAGCATCAGTAGCGGCAGCGATGGAGAATTTTGCGTTGACGCCGAGAGTGGCGTTGTGATGGTATGCGCCGCGTTAGACCGCGAGAGGCGCGCTGTTTATGAACTTACTTTGCGCGCCGTTGATGGCGGCGGGCTCGCAGCGGAAGCAGCTGTGCGTGTGACCGTAGACGACGTTAACGACGTGGCACCGCGATTCGCGCTGGCATCGTACAGCGCGCGCGTTCGCGAGGACGTACCCGTCGGCAGCGTGGTAGCTGTGCTGGAGGCCTTCGACCCCGATTTGGGTGCAGGTGGCCGTTTGGTCTACTCTCTGCCAGACCAGGGCGCAGAGGATATTGTTTTTACCGTTGACTCCGCCTCGGGAACTTTACGTACTGCACGCCGGCTAGACTACGAAGAGAGACAGGTATATATTAGAGTTTTCTTTAAATGTTAACGTTAAATACAAATAATTATTTTCTTATATGCAGTGATATCATGTTTTAATGTCATAAATTAAATGAAGTATATGTGTAAGGTGTATGGCGTCACGGTGCGTGCGACAGATGGTGGACAACCTGCGCTGTGGGCTGAAGCCACGCTTATTATTGAGGTGGCTGACGTGGACGAGAATGCGCATACACCCACATTCAGCTCACGCCTTGCACTGGAGGCGAAAGTTAAGGAAGATGCAGCGCCCGGCACTCGCGTTCTCAGTGCTGCAGCTCATGATGCAGACCCTCCTGGCCGAGATTCGCGCCTCGCCTACTATATTCTTGCTGGATCTGGAATGCCACACTTTTCGATCGATGACGCAGGTTAGTATTCTTTTGTTTCAAAGAGTCAACATATTTACGGCGCTCGAATTATTGTCATCGAATACGGCTTTATCTTATGTCTATTGTACAATTTAAGAAGAAATCTAGACAGTGTCGCTTTTCACAGGTGTCATCCGTACGGCAAGTCCCCTAGATCGTGAAACAGCAGCCGAGTACTGGCTCACTGTATGCGCGCAGGATCACGGCCTAGTGCCTCGTCACGCTTGCGTGTATGTGTACATCGAGGTGGAAGATGTCAACGATATGGCGCCGTGGCCAGAGCATGCCGAGTACCGCGTGCGTTTACCTGAGAACAGCCCCGCTGGTACGCACGTTGTAAAAGTCACGGCGCACGACACTGACGCAGCGCCACGCCCACCGCATCTGCGGTACTCAATCCGCGCTGGCAACCCCGACGGGCTCTTTTCTATCGACGAAGACACAGGTAAGAGCCCCATCTTAAAATTTCTTACTTCCTCCAGAACGGTATAATCTATAGGGATTTGTTTTGCAGGGGTCATAGTGACTACTGGTCGGGCGCTTGACCGCGAGGCCGCGGCTATGCATGCGCTGGAAGTATCTGTGTCGGATGGCGAGTTAAGCGGGACGGCGCGTGTGCGGATCTCGCTCACCGATATTAACGATCATGCGCCGGCATTCACGCAGCGATTTTATGACGTCCGCGTGCCTCCACACGCTTTCACACAACGTGATGCACCTTCATTCGACGCTAGTGCGGAGGCCGACATTGACACGGACGCGGAGGATGACGAGGAAGGCTCGGGCACGCGCCTCTCGTGGGATTCTTGGGACGAGGAACCTAGTGATGATTATATCTACGTTACAACGGTAATCGTGACTTATTAATACATTATTTTCTTGTCCCTACGCATTTGGAAGAATTAAATAATACTTTAATAATTAATCTCAATCGATAGGTGACGGCGCTCGATGATGACGCAGCGGAGAACGGGACTGTGCGCTATAGCTGGAGAGCACGCGGCGGAGCGCGAGATGCACTCCGATTGCACTCGCGCTCCGGCCGTCTCTACGCCGCACCTGACCTGCATCTAGGACCGCATCTGGCTTACGACGTAACGGTGCGCGCCTGCGACGCTTCGCTACGTCCTCGTTGCGGCGTGGCAAGGGTGCGTGTACGGGGTGCTGTACGTGCTGGAGGAGGCGCACCGCCAACGCTTCGACCGCCGCCACCGCTACAGGCTGCAGAGCTCGACGCTCCGGGCTTCCTGCTTGCGTTACTACAAGCTTCAGACCCCGACGGCGATCCCCTGTATTATGATATCATCGGTTAGTCTCGTTTTATTTTACCGTTACACTTTTATATATTTTTAGAATGGCGTTATCTGTACCGGAGCACACATTACATACATACACAGACAAAACCATTAAAATTTGTTTTCAATAAAATAAAAATACCTGAGTCTGAAACTTAATTCGGTCGGTTTCAGATGGTGACCCTGACCACGATTTTGTGGTGGGGCGCGAGGACGGCAGTGTGGTACTGGCGCGCCGGCTGCTCTGGGAGCGGTGCGCTAACTATCGTCTCAACGTATCTGTTACCGACGGTGTGCACACTGTATTCGCTATTCTGCACGTTTCTGTCGTCAACGATGCCAACGAGGGAGGCGTTGATTTCGCTCGCGACCTCTGGGAATTGGAAGTCTCGGAAGCCAGTCGACCTGGAATCGCTCTTGCGACGCTAACAGCGCGCGCAGGCACCGACGAACGTCTTCTTTATGGGATCCACGCAGCACGCGCGCCGGCCAGCCTCGCCCTATTTCGCCTTCACGAGCTCAGCGGCGTCCTCGAACTGGCCGCGCCCTTAGACCGCGAGGCGGCCGCGTTGCACGAGCTGACCGTCTGGGCACGTGATCAGGCGCCGCGAGCATCGCTTGCTTTTGCACGTGTAACGATACGCGTGGCTGGCGCAGACGAACACGCGCCATCGTGGGGCCGGCGTTTGTGGGAAGCTCGAGTGGCGCGTGGAGCGGCGGCAGGCACGCTTATAGCGCCTTTACGTGCCGCAGAGCGAGACGCGGGTGGTGCATCGCCCGTTTACTCATTAGCGGGGACAGGCGAAGCTGCTGGACTGTTCACCGTGGATGCGGCATTGGGTGATGTGAGGCTAGTGCGACCGTTACCGGCACTTGGTCCGCGCGAGTACACTCTGCAAGTGCGTGCCGCTGGGCCGCCGCCCGCTGAGCGTGCTTCGACAGTACCGCTTCACGTGCTAGTTGTTGACCCGGATGACGCCCCGCCTAGGTATATACTAACGTAGATTTTTCCAGTTCATAAAAGGACGAAAAAAGTTTGACTTAGTTGAGAGAGAGCAGTCTTCAATGAAATAATGAAACAATCTTGCTAATAGTGAAACCAATAGTAGCTTTTGTTATCTCACAATAAAATTACTACGAAATGACAAGGTACATGTTAAGAAAAACGACTTGTTTAAAGACACGGACAGCTCTTCGATAGCGCGGGAGATAAGTAGCGCAAATTTAGATAGTGATGCATGCGTTTCTTTTGTTTACGATTACATCAATTTCGTAGTTCTAGAGAAGCAATTTGTTTATTGTGGAATCATAGTGCATCTCTCTCTAAAATTTGATAACTGTATTTTTAATTAAATCTTGCATTGTTTCTGTAAGGTATATTTATATTTATAGCCAGTTGTAAAGAGCTGAATCTGTACAATTTTCAACGCTCAATCGTAATAACGACTAATGTTTATAGATTTGCAACGACTGAGGTACGATGCGAGGTAGCTGAAGACGCCGCCCGCGGAACTTTGGTAGCAACACTGGAAGCGCGCAGCCCAACTGGGGTCCGCTATGCGTTAGCCGGTGGAGACGGCCACTTTCGCCTCAATCCAGCCGCCGGTTTGCTCACCCTAGCGGCCCCGCTCGACTACGAGCAGCAAAGCATCTACAACCTGACTGTTACCGCGCTTAACATGGGTGGAGGCAGCGCAGAAGCGCGTGTCACTGTACACGTCATCGACCGTAATGAATTCCCACCGGTGTTTACGCGCACGCGCTATCGGGGCGTTGTGTCCGAGGCGAGCGAGCCCGGGGCCCTAGTGTGGGATTCAGCAGGCCGTGCACCACTTGTGCTGACCACCAGCGATGGAGATTCGCCGGCCAACCGCCAGCGCGCCTTTGAGATCCGAGACAATTCCGCCGCGCGTCTCTTCCACGTTGATCCGCTCACCGGTGCGCTTCGTCTTGCAGCATCACTCGACTACGAGACTGCTCAGATCCATCGGTTCACTGTCAAGGTGATTTTCACTAACTTTTTGAAAGTATTAATTTTGCGACCGAAAGCTACATTCTTGATCTACCTATCAATGCAATATTACTCGAGTCTTTTTACATATAATTTATACAGAACGTGGCCGCATTAAAATACCATTGTAAATGTCTTTAAAAATTTCCTCAGGTCGTGGACATGGGAAACCCTAGGGTGCCATCAGACAGCGTGGCACATGTAACAGTAGACGTGACGAACGTGAACGATTGCCCCCCAAGCTTTTCTCAGCCGTCATACGAGGCCACGGTGCTACTTCCGAGCGTAAAAGGCGTGGCTGTACTGAGTTTAGCCGCCACCGACGCCGACGGGCCCGGACTATTACGCTTCGACGTAATCGAGGGCGATGCGCGCGCTTTTTCGCTATCTGCTGGTGGCCAGCTTGCAGTGGCAGAGCCGGCTGCGTTAGTCGCTGGCGCCGAACACCATTTGCGCGTCCGCGTCTCTGATGGCGAATTATCATCCACCGCAAGGTTGCTGGTGAAGGTGCGCGAGCCAGACAACTCGGGACTCGCCTTCCAGAAGACAGACTACTACGCCTCGATAATGGAAAATTCGACAAAACCTGTGACTATCGCTGTACTCGACGTGCTAGGAGCGGCGCTTAACGAACACATCGAGTTCACGATCTTGAACCCTACTGAGGGTTTCGAAGTGGGCCGCACATCGGGCGCAGTGCGAGGCACGGGCTTAGCATTGGACCGCGAACAACGTGCCTCGTACGTGCTTCTGGTCCAGGCAGCGGGCGTGGGGCGCGTGGCGCGCGCTCGACTCACGGTGGCTGTAACGGACGTCAACGACAACTGCCCAGTCTTTGTGCGGCGACCGTATGTGGCGGCAGTGCTGGCAGGCGCAGAGCCTGGGACGGAGGTGCTGACAGTAGAAGCCGTCGACGCCGATGCTAACGACAACGGGGAGGTACGTACTGGCGAATCATATCAACACGCAGGCCTTTAAACTCAGAATATCATAATGTCAAATATCAAAACTAAAACTTTCCTAGCACACAAAACACATTAAACGCAAGTGCAGAACTATTACTACCAACTCGCATGTTCGCTACGCAAGATAATGCCTAAAGTAATATAGTACTAAATCTAAAAGAAAATTATAAAAGTTGTTGACGTGTTATGAATTAAAAATATATAATAGGTACTTTAATGTTTGAGCAGGTGCGGTACGAGATGAAGCGTGGACACGGAGAGCTGTTTCGTGTGGACCGGCGCACGGGGCAGATCACCCTGAAACAGAGCGTAGACGCGCAGCGGCAACAGTATACGCTGCTCATCGGTGCATTTGATGGTGGCGTTCCAGCCTGCGCCGCAGAAACCGAGGTCACGGTTCATGTATGGCCAGGTGGCGCTGCGCCGCGCTGGGAGCGAGCGCATGTGTCGCTGGACGTACGTGAAGACATAGCGCCGGGCGTACCGCTAGGGCCTCCGCTGCGGGCGCTGTCGCCGCTCGCACGCCAACTGATTTATACGCTTCATGCGCCCGCTGGCGCCGACGCTGACCTCGATCTCTTCGAAATACATTTTGAAACAGGTGAGGACCAATACCTAGGCCACTTCGCCACACGAGTCTCGATAGCCTCCTACTAACTAACTTCTTCGTTTTCTCCCGCAGCCCGTGACGGGGGAACTAGCCCGTGTGAGTACTGACCGCCCACCCCGGCTTTCGGAAGCTAACTCATTTGCTTTGTTTGAGAATATTTATTGTTTCGCCTCAGTCGGTGTTCTTTTGGTTAAAATCTGCATCCACTCATTGCGCACATTTGATTTATGAAATGGTCGTCTTGTGAAATCTCACTTTGAATGTCGTCGTTGCACTTTTATTTCATTTGCACTGACGCTTCCGAAATCGTTGTTATCATCCCGCTTGGTTTTATTTTGTAAGCAAAACGGACGGCACATGGTCTGATATATTTTCGTTTCAGGTTCGCTATCGGCTCGCGGCGCTTTAGACTACGAGCGTGCTCAGTCACACGAGTTACGCGTACGCGCCACAGATGGCGTATCGGGCTCCTGGGCTGAAGTGGCCGTGACGCTGACCGTGCTCGATGTCAACGACTGCGCGCCAGAGTTCGAGCAGGACGAGTACCACGCCGCTGTGCTCGAGAGTTCCGCGCCTGGAGATCTTGTTATCAATGTTCGCGCCGACGATCATGACACGGGTGAGACAGCTTGATTAAAATTGACAAAAATGCAATAAGTGTATGTTCACACAAAACGCTCGTACTCATTTCGTTACGTACTTAGGTGCTAACGGCGAAGTTCAATACTCACTATCGGGGCTCTTGGGTGAGGCAGTCTCGCAGTTTGTCGTCAATGCGTCATCAGGCGCCGTACGCGTTGCTGCGCCACTAGACGCCGAGCTCGTCGCGCATCACCACCTGCTGCTCACAGCTACCGATGGCGGACGTCCAGCGCTGCTTACCACTGCACATCTCTTTATCACTGGTGAGTAAAATACTTAAGTACTGTACTAGTTGTGAAATAGGTACATGCAATGCAGTGAGTCAATCTCAGTCAAAGTCTGTACTTATTTCGGTAATCGGAACGTTTAACTAAAAAGTCAATAAGTAAGTTGCTGCTTGCAGTGGAGGACGTAAACGACTGCGCGCCGCGAATGGAACGAGCCGTTGTGACAGCATTGGTCTCGGAAGAGGCTGCACGTGGTACTGCGGTGGGGCGTGTCGCAGCCTGGGACCCGGACGAGAGTGACGCGGCTAGACTGCGCTACGCCATGCAAGGTGCCGAGCGGGGTCTTAAGGTAGACCCACTCACGGGTGTACTATCGTTGGTCGAGCCGACTGCTTTCAACGCCAGCAGCGCACGTTCGCTTAACGTGTCGGTGACAGATGGAGCGCGCGCAGCATTCGCTCGAGTCAAACTGACGCCAGCGCCAGCCAACCGCAACCCTCCACACTTCCCGCACCTTATACACGAGGCCCGTGCACTAGAAAACCAGTCGCCGCCACTATTACTAACTACGGTAAGCAGCAAACTCTCTTTCTCAAATCTATACATGTTTATACCAATGATAACATATTTCATAATAGTTAAAGCTTTTAGTTTAAGTTTTCAGCCTAGTAAATAGTTGCTCCTAATATGTTTGCATATTTTGATAGTTTTTTATATTACGATTACAGGTTAAGGCATACGACGAAGATGGTGGCGAATACGGCAGTGTAACATACTCGATCCCGTCGGGCAAACTACGCGAGACCTTCTCGATAGATGCAGCCAGTGGCGCTTTAAGCGCACGTGTACCACTTGACCGCGAGGCCCGTGCCGAATGGGACGTGCCCGTGCTAGCGGCGGACGGCGGTGGCCGCATACGTCAGACCAGCGTGCGCGTACGCGTGCTTGACGTTAACGACAACGCACCCGAATTTCCACTGCGCGAATATCGTGCTTCCGTGCGTGCTGACCGGTCACCGCTTGCTCCTTTTCTCACTCTGTCAGCCCGCGACGCTGATGCGCCTGAACACGCGCGCCTCGAGTATTCGCTTTATGAGCGTGGTTCAGAAGCTGAAGTGACCGGCCTATTCGCCGTGGACCCTCTTACCGGCGCGTTGGCCTTTGCACGTAACGCCTCTGGTTTTGGTAAGACCTTTTTATTGTAAAATTTATATTAATTTTAAATAGTTAGATCATTATTGTTAGTAGTAGTCTTTTCGTTCTACAAGTAATGATTGTATTTTTCTGTTTTTGTGATGTTACTCTGCATGTTTTGTTTCCAGAGTAAGGTTTTCTTTAAGTATATATTGTTAGTGTGCCTTATAAATAGATAAACAAATAATTAGGTTTGAAGCAACTTAAAAGACATATTCCCACATTTTATTTTATTTGATGGATTTTCTTTATTATTATTAATATAATATAAATATTAAATATTTCCGAAACTAAATGTATTTAATTTAACATAAGACCACTCACTATTAAGCTTTGTGTGTATTCTTGATTTTTATTATTCTTATTTAAATTTTTCGCTAGCTAGCTAATAGGACACCATGGTGTTCTATCCAACTTGTATGGTTCTTAAAAATAAATGTTACCTGCAGCGGGACGCAGCGTGCAAGTTTGGGTGGTGGCGCGTGATGGCGGAGGGCTGACGGGTGAGGTCGGCGTGCAGGTGGCTTTGCTGGCTTCCGGCGACTCCGCCCCTCGGTTGGCGCAACCGCCACCCGACTTATTCCTACCTGAGGACGCCACGCCGGGAACCCTTATTGCTCAACTGCGTGCTCCCTCTGGCCCTCTGCCACGCTTACGTCTTGCCCCCACTGCCCGAGCTGACGAACGTCTCTTCACGCTCGACTCTGATGGCCGTTTACTGCTTGCCGCCCCGCTTGACAGAGAAACTGCCCAAGACCATATCATCGGTGAGTATCAACAAGCCTTTGAATTTTCTATATTCGAATCGTATTTTTTTTATACATATAACTGTGACAGGTAAATACAGTTTCCTGTCACTAAGTCCCAAGTGCAGAGTAAGGCATTTTTACATTTTTCCTTTTAGTTTGACAAAATTTTTAATTTGTAATCACTCATAATTTTTATGATAGCTACCCGTTATCGCTTTATGTGAGCACTACAATAATGATTACTCTGCAAATTGAATTAAAAATTTGGTTTTATACTTATTGAAATAATTTAAATAAAGACAACTAGAAAATGCTGAAAATATTAATGTTACACTGCCACAATCTATTTAAATTTATTGTAACCTTCTATTTATCAATTTTTCATTATTATTATTATTACTATGTAGGTAAAAAATATGTATTTTATTATGTTGGAAATAAAGATTCCTAATAGACATATTTATATCGTGTTTTAGGAATCATCGCTGAAGGCGAAGGCAGTCCAGCGCCAGGCACGCTCGTCCAGACACGGCTGCACGTGCTCGACGTAAATGAGCATGCGCCGCAATTCCACTCTCAACCATACATGTTGCACCTCGCAGAGAATACACCGCCGCACACTAGCCTTATCCAGCGTAAGTACTCAATATATGGAAAAAAAAGGGTGCGTGTACCTATGTACGCGCGTAAGAAGTTATACTTCTTTGGCATTATTAAAAATAGTTTTTGATTGCATGCAAATAATTAATTACAATTAAATAATCAAAGACTGGAAAAGGAGTCATTAAAGTCAATAAAGTTCAGTTTACATTTGAAAAATTAATTAAATAAATATTTATTATTATTCTCTTACATTAAACAAATAAAACACTATTTATCTTTAAAACATTTTTATTTCATTATACTATTTATTTTTAAGTGACTCTAATGTCTTCATCAGAATTTCGGTTTGTAATTTTAAATTAATCATTACTTGGTTGTGCATCTACGAGGCTTCTCCAAAACTACTTGCTTTCTGCAACAAATAAGAGAATATTAATTTAAGCTCTGTCCATGCAAAACTTAAAATTTTTTATAATTCATATTATAAATTTTTTAACACATTTATATTAATATAATTATATAAATGTGTTAATAATATTTGTAGCACATGCTACAGACCTGGATAGCAACTTTCTTTTATTCTATTTAGAGATAGAGATAATTTAAATATAATACCGGTGTCTTCCTTGTAGGTTTTTTGGAGTTGTTTGGGGATTCTTGTTGTTCAGTTGACATGATTTTCTTTAACCTTTCTTTAATCCTACAAAATAATGAAATTGTTAAGTTATGTGTCACTGTTGTGACACCTTTGTTTGGCTTTTTTAGTATTCAAGTTATTCAAAACTGATTTATTACCTTGTATTGTTGGTTTATTTGCTTGGATATCAATTGTTTCCAAAATGATTTTATTTGTAATAACCTGAAATATATAAATAACATCTATTAATTTAAGTATCATGGTGAGTGGTTGACTCAGGTATTAAGGTGTATTATACCCACTGTCCATTAAAGTGGAATGGTACTTTGGAGAAGAGTTTCGGTATAAAGGAAAGGATGTTTTGAGGTATTACAATATCTCTAACTACCCTGTAGGGGAATAAAGTAATGTTGTAAGATATCCTATGCTTGAAAGGTTGAACTTGAACATCACCATACATCATATTTATAATTAACATTCCTACCTCGACACCATCACAATCAAATTCATTGAAATCTACTTCAAACCATTGTGTCTCGAGAAGGTGATGGTGGTTTGTTCCACCTCATTTTTGATTTTAGGGATAAGATGACAACTCTTTTTTGTATTCAATTTAGTGACTTCCACTGATTCATCAATTGTTTTTTCTTTTCTTATATTTGTAGATTAAATTGATTTTTGATTAAATAATGTGGTATTTTTTTGAGATGAGGTACTTATTAAAATGTTTACTTCTCTGTATATGCTCCAAGCTTCATTTTCTCCTTATTATATTGGCTTAAATCTTTGTTCTCAATTATTGATAAAGGGTCGTAGAATATTTCTAAAAAGTTGCTGTAACAAACGCAATAAACAAAAGCAATGAATAATGGTTATGTTTAGTTTTAATCAAAATAATACTCGATAATACATACGGATAGTTAACTCAATTGTATTGAAGACTAGGAAGGTTAGACAGTTTTTTCAAAATATTTTATATTATTTCACAAATATTTTGTATAATGAAAATAACTAGGTATATAATTATTAATTTTAAACAATAATTAAAACTCCTATATTTGTTTAAAAGGTAAATGTCATTGTCAGATTCAATTGTCATTCATTCAAAATTCTTGTTAATTTAAGCTAGAATATGGTAAGTTAGTTCACGATATTCTATTTCTTTACTTGTATTTGTCTTATTCCCATCTCGCTCGCGCACGCTATATCACACTGCAATTTTGTGTCATAGGTGCGCGCGCAATCGTAAAATTTCACTCTATCAATTTTTCATAACGCGCCTAAAGAAGTACAACTTCAAAAAATCGGTTGTCTGTAAAGTCGGTTTACTGACGATAGTTGAAGTGATAACGTCATAAGAAAATACTGGTGGAATGGTTGCATTTTTCAAAAGAAAATTTAAATTTTATTTGTTTGATAGATATTTTGTATGGATATAGAGGAGGTAAATGGAAATCAAATTGAATTGATCAGTTACATGTATTTGTACGATAAATAAATTATGACAATTTTTGGCCTCTTTGTCGCTCGTTCCGCGTCTCGTTGACTTCAAGCCTTAAATGGAACGCCTCAGAGGTAACGCCGCATGAGTATGTTTTTGTGCGTGAGCCGGCTCCATGAATTATAAGACGTTTTCACTCAAAAGTGCGTGCGTACAAAGTACACATGCCAGAAGTGAAACTTCTTTGGCAAACTAATTTTTAAGTCTTGTCCATATTTATACAAATCTAAACTTTAGATTTCCGAGACTTAGAGGGAGGGAAAAAAGACATGTTAGGAATTTAATGAATTTAATTGTCATTAAAATATTAAAAGTGTAGAAAATTAAAACAAATTATAAATTTGACTTTTTAAATTTATTTCTTCGATAATAAAAACACGTGTAATTTTTATTTACAATTCGTCATTTGAGAATTCAATAAATACTTTTGCATAAAATATAAAATACTAATATGTCATAAATTCTCTTTACGAAATTTTAATTTTAAAAATTGAATTTCTGTAAGGTAATTCACGCTTCTCACTCTCTCTCAATCGCTCTCTCCCTTTTTTCGACTAAAACGCTGCACATCTTAGTGACGTTCTGTAAAAATTTAACCCTCATGCGCCTAAAGAAGTTTCATTTCAAAAATAGAGGAAAGAAAGGAATTATCGCCGAAGCCTTACACAAAATTCAATCGAAAATGTTATAAAATGTATTTTTCGTAACTAATAAGTTTTTTAATATGAATACTATTGACAATGATTTGATGCTGAACAGTGATGGCGGATGACCCAGACGCGGGGTCGAACGGCGAGGTACGGTTCTCTCTGGAGAGTTCGGAAGAGGTGCCTTTCGCAGTTGAGGCCGGAGGATGGGTGCGCGTGACGGGTCCTTTGGACCGCGAATCGCGCGCCGAGTACCGCTTGCCTTTGCGCGCCTCTGACCAAGGAGCTCAGCCGCGTTCAGCAAAGGGTGAATTAATTGTGCGGCTGCTAGACTACAACGACTGCCCGCCTGCCTTCACGAAGGAGGTTTATGAGGCTGAGGTATTTATTGTTTTCTTACCGAATTTCCACCCGTATAAATTGATGTCTGATAACTGAGCGTTTTTAAGTAAAAAAAAAAAAAAAAAAAAAAAAAAAAAAAAAAAAAAAAAAAAAAAAAAAAAAAAAAAAAAAAGGGGGAAAAAAAAAAAAAGAAAATTTTTTTTTTTTTTTTTTTTGTGGTTTTTTTGGGTTTTGGGTATAAAATAATTTATTTTTTTTTTTTTTTTTGGTGGGTTTAGTAAATTGGGGGGGGAAAAAAAAAAACCCCCCCCCCCCCCCAAAAAATAATATTTTTGGGGGGGGGGGGGGAAAAAAAAACCCCCCCCCCCCCCCCACAAAAAATTTTTTTTTAAACCCCCCCCCCCCAAAAAAAAAAAAAAAATTTTTTTATTTTTTTTTTTTTTTTTTTTTGGGGGGGGGGGGGGGGGAAATTTTCCCCCCCCGAAAAAAACCTTTTTTTTGGGGGGCCCCCCCTTTAAAAAAGTGGGATTCCCCCCCAAAAAAAAAAATGTATACTATAGACTCAGATGTTCAGACTCCTATTGAAATGGAAATAGGTGCCCGGCCAAAAAGTTGTGCAATCTCTGACATGTCAAAAAATTATAGCTGTCAGCATTCTATGGAATTAAAAATCAGAGTATATTCACTAGTAAGATCCGTGTTCAGTTGATATCTGTGGTCTCGGTAAGGATACCGTCTATCTTTGAAACAAGAACATAAAAATATATGCACTATCTTACATATCATACATACATATCATAAAAATGTAGCAATTTAAAGTAAGTGTATATGGTCATAGGTGCGCGAGGACGCAGCAGCAGGCACTGTGGTGGTACGTCTGGCTGTGCGCGACGCGGATATCACAGCTGGTACACTGGCCTACTTCGTGGCGGAAGGCGATATACGCGCGCGATTCCAGATACGCGGCTCGGGCGAGCTGTTTGTGGCGCGTTCACTCGACCGCGAAACGGAGGCCGCATACTCCCTGCGAGTGGCGGCCACAGACGGAAAATTTACGGCATACGCCACGGTACGCGTATCTGTGCTGGACGTCGACGACAATCCGCCTTACTGCCTGCGACACAGATTGCGGGCCCGATTGCCAGAAGATGCGCCACCAGGTACGCGCGTGGCTGAACTGCTAACGCGCGACGCCGACGAGCCACACAATGCGCGTCTACGATTCTTCCTCACCGGGGAACATGCTGAACACTTCACCATAGATAAGGTACCTACGTCTGCACACTAAACAATCCCCAATTTTTAAAGTTTTGCTCCTATCCTTCTCGAACGTTAATATAAATTTGGGAGCGATCCCCCGAGTTCTTTCTTCAGGGAGCGTTCTAGTATTACTTAACGAATTTTTTTCCTTTTGTAAAACGTTACGATGCGGGGCGGGGATTAAATTACGCGTTATTGTCAATATTTTTTTCGACTTACACAACATAATAGTAATCAAAGAGTCACTAGGTGGTCACGAAACGTTTTACTATACTTGGGTACAGTGCTGTACTTGGGTACTGAAAAACGTTACAGCGAGTTACATGGGGGTCAATAATCTTCAAAAATTGCGTTCCGTAATACTTGAACGCTCCCTCAGCCAGCGGGCAATCGGGTTTTTTATGATGATTTATATTCTTGTAGGAAACCGGCGTGGTGACTGTGGCAGCCGCACTAGACAGAGAGACGGTAGCACGATATGAGTTACGTGCGCAGGCGCAGACTCGCGATCGACCTGAATGGGGCTGTGGCGCAGAACTACAATTAGCCCTGGATGACGTCAACGATAACGCTCCTCGCTTTGCCGCGCCTCTCTACAGCGTCACCTTGCCCGAGGATGCCGCACTCGGGACGCTTGTCGCTAAGGTTTGTTATTGCTTGCTTCTTGAAAATAGTATATACTATGTTATCGAATCATCTATAACGAGAAATTCCATAGTTATCTGGATGCCAAACTAGCTTCCAAAAAGCTGGGTGTTTTGGGTACGGCTTAGCAATATTTCCCTAAGGTACAACGTATGCCTCATATGGAATACTGCTCACATCTCTGGGCCGGTGCTCCCAAATACCAGCTTCTTCCTTTTGACCAAATTCAGCGAAGCTTTGTCGAATTGTAAATCTCCAACGTAGTAATCGTCTTGATTCGACGACTTTCAATTGTTTATAGTAAAAGTATACTCCTCCCTCAAAGGCCAGCTACACACCCACTAAGGATCGGTGTCTATGGGATGATTGCCTTTAAAAATATATATATATTATATATATCGTTAAAATAATTTGATTCCAGATCCATGCTACGGACGCTGATCTCGGTGAAAACAGTTCCGTCAGATATTCTTTCATTGAAGAGAATGAATTCTTTGAGCTCGTTCCGGAGACTGGTGTGGTGACGTTGCGAGCGACGCTCGATCGTGAGACTCAGGCCGAGGTGCGGGCCGTCGTTCGCGCCGTTGACGGTGGACGACCGCAGCTCAGCGCCACCACCACGCTGCGCCTTACCGTCGCCGACGTCAACGACAACCCACCCGAATTCGAGTTGCGTCAGTATGCGGCCGCCGTGCCCGAACTGGACGCTCCCGGCACCCAGTTGCTGCGCGTGCGCGCAACTTCACGCGACGCCGGTGTAAACGCTGACGTCTATTATGCACTTGTCGCCGGCGACGGCCGCGATGACTTTACACTCGATCGGACCACCGGTGTGCTCTCCGTCGCCCGTCCGCTGGATTTCGAACGACGCCGCGAGTACTTCCTTACCGTCCAAGCCGTCGACGGCGGCGCGCCTCCGCTTAGCGACCACGCTACTCTGAACATCACCATTTTGGACGGAAATGACAATGCGCCATCGTTCTCACAGTCGTCGTACACGGCGCGAGTGCGCGAGGATGCAGCACCTGGCACTCGTGTGTTGCAGCTCATCGCCGACGACGCTGATGCGGCTGACAATGGTCGCATCTCCTACTCAATCGCGCGCGGCGGTGAAGGCCATTTTGAGATCGATCTCGACACCGGCTACTTGTCAGTGCTAGCGCAACTTGACCGCGAGACCACGTCGCGCTATGTGCTCGAGGTGCGCGCGACCGACCGAGGGATTCCCGCTCTAGAATCGACGGCGACTGTCGATATCGAAGTCATGGATGCCAATGATAACCCACCTTTGTTCGCTCAAAACAATTACTCTGCTGTCGTTCAAGAGGACAAATCCCTGGGACATCCAATACTAAAGTTCGTCGTGAGCGATGCCGATGCGAGCCCCAACGGAGCCCCGTACACGTTCGATATTCAAACAGGAAACGAAATGGGCGCTTTTAGAATAGAGCAAGACGGCTACTTGCGTTCAGCCACCCGATTCAACCACCGGATAAAAGACCGCTACATCCTACAAGTGAGAGTGTTCGACAACGGTACGCCCCCTCTTTTTTCTGATGCGTGGGCGTATATCCAGATCATAGAAGAATCTCGGTACCCACCCGTGGTGACGCCTCTCGAGGTGGTTGTCAATTCGTACCTTGACGAATTTCCAGGCGGGGTCATTGGTCGTGTGTTTGCTTCGGATCGCGACGCTTACGATTCACTCCGTTACTCCTTGGCGTCGCCAAACGGGGCCCCCTTCCCGCTGGCCGGCCTTTTCGACGTTGACGCCGCAGATGGAACTCTACGTGCAGCCCCCCGCCTCGATGTGGGGGACTATCGAATCAATGCGACCGTCGATGACGGCAAGTTTCGAGGCTTCGCTATTGTTAAAGTTTCCATCGTCCTGATATCCGACGAGATGCTTGCGCAGGCAGTTGTGGTGCGTTTCCGAGAGGTGACCGACGTGGATTTCATCCTAAGCCATCGCAAAGGTTTCATCCGGGCCGTCCGAGAGGCGACCGATTGTGGACCTGGTGACGTAATTATACTGAGCGTGCAGCCCGCCGAAGATGGCGGAAGGCGACAGAAGAGACAAGTCGCGCAAGACCTAGACGTAGCGTTCGCCGTGCGCGAGCCGGGCGGGGATGGATTGCTGGCGGCCGATGCGCTCCGGCGTCGACTGCACGCGCACTTGGAGCGCCTCGAGGAACGTAGTCGCCTCGTAGTCGAGGAGCTTTTGCGCGCCACGTGCGGCGGCTGCGTGCACGGCGTTTGTGTCGAGCGCCTACACCTACGCGCGGCTCGGCTTCGCGTCGTTGCCGCCGACGTGTTCGCTCTCGTTGCGCCGGGACACGAGCTACGCGGGGAGTGCACCTGCGCAGCGGGCTACACGGGAGAAAGATGCGAAGCGATCGCAGCAGAGGTTACGTCGTCGATTCCATCGGACGACTCCGCCGTGGCGGTCCTACAGCTAGGCGGCGACGGGTATCTGGCGTATCGCGTTGAAAGGGGCGTGGTAGAAGGTGCGCGACTTCTTGACGATGAATTGGTGCTGTCGCTGCGGCTGCGTACTCGCGCTCCTCGCGGCACGCTGCTGTGGGCCGGCGGGCGAGTAGACTTCTTGATACTGGAGGTGGTGGAAGGAACGATTCAGGCGCGCTGGGAGCTTGGCGCGGGAGAGGCGCGCTTGCGGGCCGGCGGCACCGTAGCGGATGGAGCATGGCACGAGGTGCGGTTGGAGCGTCGCGGTGCCGTGGCTCGCCTGACGGTGGACCGCCGATCGGCGCAGGCGCGCTCTCCGCCCCCGGCCGCCGTCTTAGACGTCCGTGCAGACCGGCTACTCTTAGGTGCCGCCCTGCAGAGGCACGTTCACGCTCTCGCACCGGAACAGGTACGCTTACTAAAAGCACCATGCTTTCCGTGTGCTAAATCTTGCATTTTACGTTAACGGCGTTTATTTTTTTATACCACTATCATAAATTGTTTCAGGTGACTTACGGGTTCCACGGCTGCATATCGGACTTAAAAGTTGGCGGATGGAGACTACCGTTAGAGGAGGGCGGCACATCACGCGACGGGCGAGTCCAACTAGTACGCAGCGTCCGGGCGAAGGTCGCACCCACCTGTGCACCTCTTCCACCTCCTGGCGCTTGTGCCGCCCAACCCTGCCAGCACGGTGGGACGTGCCAAGAGGTGTCATCCGGCTACACCTGCGACTGCCATGCGCGATACGTAGGCCGGGACTGCGAGCTCGACACGGATCCGTGTGCGTCGCAGCCCTGTCTTCACGGTGGCTTATGCTCGCCTGAAAGCGACGTTGCAGGCGGCGCCTCGTTCCGCTGCGCGTGCGCCGCAGGACTCGAGGGTGCGCGCTGTGAGCGCGGGCGTTGGTGCGCAGAGGGCGTATGCGCCCACGGCGGAGCTTGCGAGGAGGGCGAGTGGGGCCCGTCGTGTCGCTGTCGAGGCTACTACGGGCCTCGGTGCCAGTACGACGTAGACGAGTGCGCCGGCGAACCGTGCCTCAACGGCGCGACATGTCTAAACGAGCCCGGATCTTTTCGCTGCCTCTGCCCGCCCGACAAGACCGGAATGAACTGCGGTAACCCGCTCTACTCGGATGCCGTTACGGCCGGCGAGGCGGGGTCGGTTGACGGCCGGCGCGCTCTAGCCGCTGCGTGGCATTGGGTTCTCGATGCTCGCTGGCCTCTAGGCGCAGTGGGTGCTGTGGTTGCGCTGGCGTTGCTGTGTGGCGTGGTGGGTTGCGTTCGAGCCCGTCGAACTCGGCCTCCACCGCCGCCGCTCAACAGCGCTCTGGAGAAACCGCCGGTGACTAAGCTATCGAACCTGGAAGCGGTGCGACGTGAACGCCCGGCGTCGTGTGCGGCGCCGCTCAACAACTTAGAGACGTTGCGGTCGTACGGCTCGGCTGGAGACGAGCTTGAGGGGCTTCCGCCTGATTATCGCCGCAATCTAAACCTCAACGTCGATCTGGACCGTAAGCCCTGGTCCGAGCAGATGCATCTGCATACCTTCGTCGACAATAAGATCTACAACGGTAAGAGACGCACTGACATGGAAATTTAAATCTAATTAAACATATTTATTTATTAAAAGAAGGTTACAGTTAAGAAACAATATAAATTTATCCAAATTTTTAAGTGAAAATCGGCGCAATTCAATTAAAACCACTAGGATAGTTCAAAAAATAATTTAAATTATATGAATGAGTTTCTTGACATTACTTCGATATTAATTTTTCTAGAAACTACTAACGAAACTGACATTACTGACATTACCAACCTTAATGTTAATTACATTATGTTGAACATCGTTACGATGATATGCAAAGAATATGCTACATTTACCTAGTTCATAGACATTTCTTTTTTTTTTACAGATTTGAAGAATTGCAAACCACGAGTGCGCGCTCCATCTCCCGCGAGCACCCGTCGCGTGGCGGTAGGCGCGGCAGTCGCCGGCATGGGCGGTGACCTGGTGGGCGGGTACCACTGGGATTGCTCGGACTGGTGCGGAGGTGGAGCTCTCCCCGGCATCAGCGAGGTACCGGGGTCGGAGCGTCTCGACTCTTCGGAGCCGCCATCTCCGCTACGCTCTCCGCAGCCGCCCCTTCCGCCCCTCCCTCCTCTACCGCTCGACACCGATTCTGCCCCGGAGGACTTCGAGTCGCATCCCTTTACGGACGGTGAGGCCTCATATGTTTACTTTACTCTTATCTATATATAATATACAGGATGGCCAAAAAGTCGTGGATCAAACGCAAATAGATATTAGAGCGACTCATGGCCATGTGTAATACCTTTTCAGAATCCCTATGAAATGCGCCAAAACTTGTAATACAGGGTCACTTTTCGGTAGAGTAATTTTTTTTCACAGAGGGGTCTGAAGTAAACAAAAAGTTTTGATTTAAAAAAAAAATATATCGTATAACTTAATATTATCTTCAATACACTCAATTAACAACTATAAATAGTATGTGTTAAGCAAGAACTCATCAGCACCAATCTAGTGGATATTATGAAAAATATACAGGATGTAGATTTTATCGAATTTTAATAAGAATTAGTAAAAAAAAGTCAATTTTCTTATAAAACGCAAAATAAATCATAACTCTGCAGGGGTTGACCTTAGAGACCTCCCGTAGAACAATTTTTTGCCGCTGATGACCTCATCTATCCCCTATTTGCGTTTGATCCACGACTTTTTGGCCACCCTGTACTTACTATTTTGTGATATTTTTTATATACCACTGTTTCTGTCATACAAATTAAATGTTAAGTTTTTCTGCTTAATCAGAAGAAGTGGAATGTTGAGGAATACCGAAAAATAACTAAATATTTTATAACTTACAGCGTCATCATATCTTCTAGCAGAGGAACTCGGGCTCACGAGCGAAGGTGAGGGGTTGGAGGGAGGCGGGGAATGCGTAACGAGAGTGCGCCGTGAAACGGACGCTCATAGCCTCATAACTATGCTCGGTGAGTTGAACTACTGAAACATTTTGTAGCGTCCTTGTCTGTAGTGCAACTTCTGAGAACATTTTGTAACAATAATTAGTCTAAATGAAATATGTAAACTGACACTATGGACGCAGTTTGCCTCTCGATACAAACAGATTTTTTTTCATAAACAGCGTACCGAGCGAGCCAATTTAGAAATTATTTACTTACCTCTTAATGCATTGACATTAAAAAAGATTAATTGTATAATGTATAATAGATTGATAATATTTTTAGTTAATATTTGACCTACGTATGCTGTAAATCAATAAATAAAATTGCTAAAAAATAGTTACCTTAGTTTAATGTCTTCTGAAGAGAAAGGTGCATAATATACATCCAAAACAACATTACGTTCTTCTACCTCAATCGAGGTGGGTGGTAATTGAAGAACTATTATTTTCTATTTGCAGAGGAGAGACACTCGCTGTTAGGCGCGGGCGGAGGTTCGGGCAGCGAGCTATCGGCCCATTTATGCGAGTTCGAAGACTCAGACGCAGAAGAGGGTTCGCCTCGACACACGGCCGTGTGACGGCGGCGAGCGGCCTCCGAGCCGCCGCTTTCTCGCTCGCGCGCCCTCTAGCGCCAAATCTACACTTCGTAGTTACGATTGCGCGCCATCTAGCGCCTACAAACGGCGTTATTGTACATTTGTATATAATAGAGTATTTAAAACAATGACTGAACATAGAAGTAATATTTTATAATACTGTATACTCTTTAACTACTGAGCTTATTTTAATTGAAATTTCAATTGGAAGACGTGAATAGATAGCTAGTATAATTTTATTATTATAACACTTGTATTGGCAACATTTAATGCATTTAAATTTTTTTTATGAATTATCTCTCCTCGATCAGTATTATAGCTAATAGCTCCGTTACCAGCTATATTATTGTATATAAATGTAATGTACATTCCAATACATATTCGTATGCCCATAGCAATTTAACAATACACTGCAGAATATTTTATGAGAAATAAGTTAATATGATTGCGCAGTACCTTGATGTTGAGGTGTACAACACTAGGTTATTACGAAATAAAAACCTTTTTTAATTCTTCTTAATACTGTTTTTCACGCCATACAATTGAACTCTCTATTCATATTATACATATGTTTTGCTGGTTCTAGCATCTGGTTAGGCCTTTCAAATGCGACATCCAACCTGGACTAGACACGTTTCTGCGGATGTGCCTCCAACTCCTAACATGAAATTTTTCACCGGAAAACGAATCAAAGACCTGTCGTTTAGATGCCCTATTTCTCTTCCAATTTAGAATATATATTTTTAAATATACATTTATTTCGTAATAAACCTAATGTTATGTGGTTTGAGATGTACATAATGTAATATAAAGTATGGTATGATGTCTGTGGGCTGCGGGGTATGGGGGTGGGGGCTCTCAAAGACCCGTTTGCGCTAAAACTTTCTTACGTAAATTTTCAGATTTAATGGCATAGCTAATATAACATTAGCAAACGTATTAACAGTATCGGTTAAAAACTATAAATTTTGCTTACCAATAAATTAATTTCGTGGAATTTTATAACATATTTATTGAATTTTATTATAAAAATTAAGACATGTTAGGTTGTTAATGCGTTTTTATATTCGGACCGAAATCGTTATTAAAATCAAGGTAATTTCTATTGTTATTAAGTTGAACAAAGAGTTCTTTATGTTTAGGGCAAACAGGTCTAATTTATCAGTGATTTTTAATGGGAGCCGCCTCACACCTCGCTAGATCAACAAATTGGTGCTCTGAATATAGTTTTCATATCATAAGTTAAGGCATTTACAAAACTATCCTCTAGAATAAGGAATCTATTTTTATATGTGTACAGACTGTAACTATGTAATTGTGTGGCGACTGTTTGTGTGAACGATCGTTCGCGTTATAATTTATTAAGATAAGTTTTGACACGACTAATAAAGTATAAATTGAACATTGTATTTTTATTTACTCCACATATTAAGACGATGTCATAGACGAGACATTCATCGTAAAAACCTAAGACAAACAAACAAAAATCAAAGATCTACAGAAATCAAAACAAATTACGGCAAAAGTATGCTGCCGTTTGAAGGAGCGCAACTATTAAGAGCCTGTCTGCGTTGATTACAGTACCCATCTTTAAGAGATTTTTGACGTGGTTTATGACTGACCATAAATTATAGATTTGTGTGTTTAATAAACTTTTTTTTTTAATATTATAGTTGTTGTTTATTATTTTATATTGTTTTCTTTTTGTGTTGTGTAATAGTTTAAAAAAATATGTATTTTTATCTAGTTAGTCTTCTGTGTCTTGCCTGTCTATACTTTTTTACTATTGTAATATTTAATTAAGAAGCGTAAAGTGTATTAGTTTGTCTATATATGTATATCATACCCCGGGACACCATGGTCTTCGTTTGAGGCTCCTTCACGCCTAAACCACTGATCGTATGACATGAGACTCTGCCATTCGTGCGATATTTTACTAGATGGTTAATGTCTATTTATTTATTTATTTTTTAAATTAATTTTCTTGTTTTATTGCTGTTTTACTTTTGTGAATTTATCAACTGTTTGTCCGGGAAACATTCGGGAGGCTTCTTAGAACCACAAAACGTCTACATCTGTTATAAACTCTTTTCGAAGAACTTTCCTACGAGTAAGAAGAATAATAAAAATATGATAATAATTTAATAATGTAACATAAAATTCTATTTATTTAGCCCAGCAAAGCGGACGTTAAACGGCTAGTTTTCTATAAGTGAATGTTGTAATGTTCTTACTGAGAAATAAATATCTTAAACCGTAAATTTTTTGAATATGAAAGCCTTAATGAAGGGTTTATTGACAACGTTAGGTTTGAACAGGTACCTAGTACTATACACATTAGGTATGAAGTAAGGTTTATTGTATAAATTCACTTCAGATTCTTTTAGTGACTACTGACTACGAGACCATACTGTTTCGATCATTTATAAAATAAAGCTTTTTTTATTTTATCTAAAGATATTTCAAATATTGATATAAAACATGTATTAAGTTCGCGTTTGTAATTGTTCAAGCCGACGCGATGATGAGCTTGCTAAAAATAGATATTTTACTTACTTTGGGTGTGTGTAGAATTGTTTCAAGAGTTTAAAACAAATTAAAAGAACGCTTAAATTTATTAATCTAATAACTGAACTTAATTAGGAAACAATCGAAAATTAAATAATGACTAGATTGCACCATAACAAGTAACACAACAATACTTATAAATTATTATCAAAATTACTCATTCCAACCGACACACTACTTTCGCCATCCAGCAAATGACATTCCTCAAATTCATTTCGCTTTTCATCGATTTTTTCGAAATTATTCTTACACAGGAAGTCTCCATCGCATACAAAGTCGTTCCTATCTTCCATAATTGATTCGTCGAATGGTTCTCTAAAACGTTTATCACCATCATTGTATTGATATCTCTCTATTTCGAAATCTGGTGAAATTGTTTGCCCTTCGTTCACCGTTTCTTTCCCGAGAATATCTTCAGACTCAATTCGATTTATTGGAAGATCATTATAAGATCTTCCAACATTTTCATTTTTTACTTCATACTTGACTTCGTTCAAATCTGTATTGTCTCTATTTTCTAACAAGGGCTTCATATGCATTAGGTTGAAATTGGGCATCATTCTTGAATCCCATGGGTTTTGGGGCTGCTCTTGGGATTCTAAGTCGAGGTGTTCATCTTCGTCGGCTTTTTTGAAACTGCCTAAGTTGTATTGTAAAGGAATGGAGAAGGAAGGTAGATCTAGTTGTGGGTTCTGTCTCGATGGTAGGGCAGAGATGTGGATAGCTGGAGTGGTCTGCTTGTTCTTTCCGTAGCTATTTTGGTGCGCAGCTTCGGCCATGTTGATTATTTGCGGGGAGGATACTGTGTTGGAAAATTAAGGAAATATTAAAATTCCTCTAATAGTTTTACAACCCGAAACGATTGCCTCGCCGAAAATCAAACCCGGCACCTTTGTAAATGTGGATATATGATATACAGGTGACTTTTTTTCGGAGCGAAATGATTTCAACTGTATTCTGAACATTAAAAAAAATCAGTGGCGCTACAACCTCTTTAGGTCTTGGCCTCAGATTTCTAAATCTGTTTCATGATCATTTTTAAATCTAATAGGCAAGTAGGTGATCAGCCTCCAGTGCTTGACACACGCCGTCGACTTTGTGGGTCTAAGACATGTCCGTTTCCTTACGATGTTTTCCTTCACCGTTCGAGCAAATGTTAAATGCGCACATAGAAAGAAAGTCCATTGGTGCACAGGGGATCGAACCTACAACCTCAGGTATGAGAGTCGCACGCTGAAGCCTCTAGGCCAACACTGCTCTGTATTCTAAACTTATCAACATAATTTATTTCTTTAATTTTAAAGATTACCTGGTATAGTTATAAAATCTCTCATCTCCAAGGCCAGTGAGGACGGAGACCGTTGTTCAGGTGATCTTGTAGACCTGGGTGGATAGCTCTCACAACCTGCCTTTTGTTGTTTGCGCCATTTTGCTCGACGATTTTGGAACCACACCTGAAAGAAAAATGTGTTAATTCATATAGGTATCTCTTTCTATAGTAATATTATAAAGATGAAGGATTTGTATATACGAATAAACTCAAAAACTACTGAACTAATTTAAAAAATTTCAAGGTAATTTAAAACATTATTTTTCAATCTTGCGAATCTTCTTATTAACTCTCTGATTTTTACCTCTAACCAGACATGTGAGGATGGATAAAGCTTAGATTATTATATGTCAAAATTTATTAGTACAGATAAAGATTTCTTTTACCGTAATTGCCCAAGTACTATTCAAATAGGTACCAAATTCCTGTTTTTTTATATTTTATTCTGACATAAATAGAAAAGATAAACAAAAAATACTAGAGAAGTGTCTGGATCTCTCGTTGTGTGCGACTGTTATCCCTGAGGTTCCAGGTTTGAACCCCGGCTGTGCACCTTCACTTTCTATATGCGCATTTGACTTTGCTCGTACGACGAAGGAAAAAGTCGTGAGGAAATCGGATAATTGCATCAAATAAATATAAGAATATGATATATTTAATTAAAATTGTATCGACAAATTCAGTGCAACGAACAATATAATTCACCTGAACTCTGGCTTCAGTCAGATCTATCCTCATTGCCAGTTCCTCCCTGAAGAACACATCAGGGTAGTGGGTTTTGTGAAATGCAGCCTCTAGTTGTTCTAATTGCACATTTGAAAATGTTGTTCTGTAAAATGTATATTTTCTAAATAATGAGTTGAAAAGTAAACAGCTGTCCTTGTGTAGAATAATTAAAAACACTTTTCTGTTCATACAAAATCTGTATTAAAATCCTAATTTAACAAATATATCCTTTAAGAATCATTCAAATAACTATCAAGGAATTTCGAATTTATTAAATCCAAAATTATTTGTAACAATGCCAACTCACTGATTGATTTTTATATTAATTATTCTTATAAAAAAATTTACACACCTGTACCTTCGTTGTTTTCGTTTTGGAATATCGCCGGCCTTGCCACCTGAAAATAATTAATTACAATTACCAGGGTAAGTGGAAATGCACATATATATATATTATATTAACGATTTTGCTCCAATTTCTTAATAATATATTTAAACCTTCTGTATTAAAACAATCAATGTTGCGCAATATCAAAACAATGATTTTTGAAACAAAACACTTAACATACTCGAATTAGGTGAATATTCTTCCTCTTCCTCAAATTGGTGGTTCTCTTCATCAGCGGGTTCCTGTGCTGAATAATTTTCCACTTCCGCTTCCGGTCGCTCACAAAGCGAGCCCGCTCCCAGACTAAAAGTGTAATTATAAACATGCATCAAATATTGTCGAAGTATATAATAATTTACTCACTAAATAAGTAAACGTTTAATTCGAGATCAAAACTCGAGATCTGAGTGGCAAAATGAGGTTTATTCAGGTAAAGAAGAGTGATAACCTATTTTTTCTAAGCAATAGAGACACATATTATCTTCATGTCCGACTGCCCTCAAACCTGCCACGCCCACTATAGCTTTAGTCTAGAAAAGGTTTCTCTTATATCAGGAAGATTACGGAAAAATGCTTACCTATTAAACAAATTAGGGATGTTATAGCAAAAGCTAGTTGTCGGAGAAACGTCATCATTTAAAATAGCTGCTGAGTCGAAGCCTGCTGCGCTATGGCTCTCACGACCGTCTAGAGATTCCTCCATCTTTAAAAAAAACATTAAATTAAAGCGTTTCCACCGTGTTAGCATTTAAAATGTTTCAAGATAAAGTCTGTTCTCGAAATAAGAATTTTAAGAACCTTCATTTGCGCTAAAACCTTTCTGGACTTCTGTATCTGTCCCTTGTCTCATGACAAGTGATTTTGGATCCAACGCAAGCCGGTTTCTTTACGATGTTTTCCTTCACCGTTCGAGTGAAGAAGCGCGTAGAAAGAAAGTACAATGGTGCACAGCCGGGGTTCGAACCTACTAATTAGGAATGCAGGAAATCTTGTATCTTTTTGGAAAACAATGACCCGTTGAACAGGCCGTGTGTGGTGACCCTAAGGTAGAGACATTGAACTAGCAGTTCTTTTGCTCTCTTTATTTTTATTTGTACTAATTAAATTTGGTTTAAACATTTGGTGTGCTTACTAATACATTTGTATTGTTGGTTTTTTTTATTCGTGAGGTATTCTGTTTTATGATTCCATATTGAGATTTTTTGACTTTTCACCACTTCCCCAAATTTAGAGAATCTCTCAAGCTTTACTGAAATATTTGTTACAAAGTTGTTTATTGGTTTCTTATAGAGTGTAAAACTTTTCGGCATTTGATTTATACATTAGTACCCGCTCAAGTTCGAACAACTAACATAAGTGTTCTTTTTTTAATCTATGTTTAATAAAATAAAATAAAACATATTTTATAAGAATTTCCATCCATCCGCTATTTGTTACGTGAACCACGGGGAAGAAATTTATGCAGCACACATCTAGTGACCTGTATTATTTTTTATCTAGGCCTTGTCTTATTTGGAGATTAAAAAATATGTTGTAGGTACATTAAAAAATATCGACTACATAGTTTTATTAAATTTAAAACATTTAAAAAGTTTTCACTAAAATAAGATTTTGTTAATTAGTAGATAAAAGTCTTAATTTTAATTTCCTATAAAAAACGTCTATTATTTTATATTACTACTAACGATTACATAGGTCCTCTGTATCTTCATAATGTTTTGTAACATAATGCTATAAGAGGGTGATTGACCGCCCACAACAGCCAGTACTTGTAGTTAAATTGAATTAAATGCCTATAATTTAGTTAAGTTTATTAAATTATCACTAAATGAGTATAATTTGTTTCTTACGATACAGTTTTGTATGCGACCCCGGATGAACGCCATGTTTTCGCGCGAAAATTTTGACAGATTGTAACTTTTAAAAAATGGTGGTTTGTGCTTTGCAAGGTGTGAGATGTGCATGAAAATAATAACCACGGAATATATTTAAGTGTGAAATATACTCAATTTTATTAATATGCTGTTTGAAATTTAAATAATATTGTTTATAAAAGTATAATTAAAAATCTTGGATCTTTACTCAAATGTGATACTTATTTTAATATATAGAATAATCGGTCTGCTATATAATAATGAAGTATATTTTTAATAAAATTACACTTTTACTTTAGCACAAAGAGAAACTGAACTTACTTAAGTGCCTAAACGAGTCGGTAAACAGTTGTTCAATGCGTTGGTTAAATGTTTAATTCACAAATTAGTGCATTGAGAATATATTTAAATATTTATAATAATACTAAATGAAAAACAAACTTATAAGTATTATATACATATTTTCTAAAACACAATTTAACATAATAAAAATGAACATTTACTTACAGTAAGATGATTCCAAAAGCCCGTCACTTAAAAAATAACATTCTTATAAAATTGTGGTAAAAATCGTCTTGTAACTATTGTCACGTGGTCCCCAGTACTGAAGTGAACAACGATAGCCCGCTAGCGACGTACGAACAGCGAAATCTATAGAGTCGTGAATCAGACAAACTGTAGAAATGCGTCAAACCATATAGTAAATCTTTTTAAGAGTTATTCAGTCTCCTATTTTCTAACCCAATTATCTAATCGAAAATTATTAAAAGATGTTTGTAGAACTCGTGAATTTTTATTTTAAAATAATTTAATTAATAAATTTAACTATTTTAATAAAGTCTATCGAGTATCATAAAACTCATACAGATATCTAGTTGTCACTGTTTTGTAAAATAAACAATTTAAATAAAATGTGACTTGCAGATTTAGGTTTATTATTATTAAGTTTATGAATACCATCGTTAGTATACTTAATATTATTACTTTGCATATTGCATGTTGTACTTGTGTAACAAAATAAATGTTACTGTAACATACAGGACTCAGACAATTTAATATTTTCTATCCCTTCTTCTTCGCAAACTTTATTACTGAAGCTCGTCAGTCTTAAAAAGCCATAAGCGATATATCGACTTGTTGCCTCCACACCACTCTATCCTCAGCTTGTCTTAGTGCATTAGGAATGTCGAGACCCACAATTATCTTTACCTGTTCAGACCACCTGACTTCCCTGCCACCACTCCTTCCTAACATTACCAACTTGTCGAGACTATTTGGTTCTCTCCTATCCCTTTACAGAATCAAAAAAAGTTTCTCTAAATAAATAACTTGTGTCTCCTCGCCACCTCTATTCGCTTTGCCTAGAAAACCAATGACGTTTGCTATTACGCTAAACAAATCGTTATATAGCTATCCACGTGTGTCCGTCTGTTCGGTGCTAAGCCTGGCTCAAGGGGGAGTTGGGAGGTGATGACTTACAAGTGACTGTATCGCTGTCAGCCACAATACACGTTTAGTTCTTCTATAGAAATACTTTGATTTTAGGAATATTTTAATCCAAAATAGAATCAAAAAAAAAATATAACTTTTTACCGTTTTCAAATATCTTAATTGATTTTTTATAACTATTTAAGTAAAATTGCTAACATACCTTTACGTAAGGGATCTTGTATGCCGTACTCCTTTTTGCCTTCAATGCTTTATATATAATGCTTTGTATGTATTGTACTAAGTATATTAAACATCATTGCACTACTTATCCAGAGCTTGATATATTCGGTAGTGGGCTGATCAATTAAAAAAAAGCATTGTTAAGTGTCTATCTGATACTTAATCTGCTAGACTAGCAATTTTTTGCTTAACAATGAAACTAATAAAATCTAAAATTTGAAGAAATATTTTTACTATTAAATTTTTTGTAACATTTTAAACAGAACTGTCATGTATTTTAGAACATATAGTTTGTAAAATATACTGTACATATAGCATTATATATTATGTGATGAACTTTAATAAATAAATATATAGTTTCTTCTATTAAAACTACATGACATTTAAACCACGTACAATCGTACATATGTGAAACAAGAAATATGGAAAGTATTTTAAAAGAATCTTCCTCAATAGATATATGCAACACACTATATGTAACTTATAAGGTCCACAACCTTCTTAAATAATCTATGTCATTCTAGCAGGTACTGTCTAAGCCGGCCTCGTGGCTTAGTCAACGCATCCTTAGTGACATCACGATCATCGCTTGGTTAACCAGGAGTTCATGAGATATGATTTTCAACGAAACAAAAATTTAACAGTAACTATAAAGATATGCATTTTGTTGATAATGCATTTTATACATTAAAAGATCAGATGGAAAATGTCCCATTTTCCGGGACTTCAAGTAATTATTAAGGCGATCAAGTGATGTTCCTAATAAAATGTTTACTTGTACTATAGCGGGAAGCCCCACACCTCATTGGAGCAACGATAATTCAAAGTTTCAAAGATTTATCCAAATCTTAAGCGCATCTGCGAGCTATGCAGTGAGTATAACGATCGTACAATTAGTCATAATATTATTTATTGTACATTTAAATAACAACTAACTAGGTATTTTGTTATATTATTTATTGTTTGTATCCTACTTACCACAAATTTAATTAAAATACGTAATATATGATATAATTATTTGTATATTTTTAGGCTACAAGTAATTATAATGTTCAATTTGAATTTTTTGCATTAAAACATTTTTGCTGTATATATTAGTTTTATTTTTCAGTGTATATTCTGAATTAAATTAAATTTAAAACTTAGATTTAGTTAGTCAAAAGTAGTGTTGGTCTAGTGGTTTCAGCGTTCGACGTATATTCGAACCCCGGCATTGCACCGATAGACTTTCTAAGTGCTCACTTAACACTCGCTGTACAGTGAAGAAAAATATCGTAAGGCATGCCTTAGACCCAAAACACAACGGCGTGTTAAGCACAGAAGGCTGATCAGCAACAACTTGTTTATTAGTAAAAGGGGCTAACAAACAAATGATCACGAAAGAGATACAGAAATCTAAAGTCCAGACCTGAAAATGTTATAGCGCCACTGGATTTTTTTACTTATTTCGTCAAAGAGAAGAGCCTTTTATAGAAAAATCTGTGACTGCATTATAACATTATTTCTAATCTAGGTTTAGCGGTTACGAAAAGGAATATTGTCATTATTAAGTTTTTAATTTTATTTCGGTCGTAGGAAAGTTTATATTAAAAAACGTATCTAAAATGCATAAATAAAAATTCCATTAGATCGATTGTATATTTAAAAGAAACTTCTATAGATATAAGAAAAGAGCGTATCTAGCGACTGTTTTGCGTCTATGGCCATTACATTAGTTTGTTTGACCTTGTTTTAAAAAAAAAAGAATTTTATTGCAGTCCGTCCGTCCGTCGTTTCACAACAGAGCGATATTTAAAGCAGATTCTGCCGTGCACCACCGCTATTGGAACCAGCTGCCTACTGAAGTATTCCCGAACCAATTTGACGTAGGGTCCTTCAAGAAAAGCGATTCTTTTGGCCGGCAACGCACTATCCCTAGTTAACATCAAGTGAACCTCTTAATAGGCCCCTGTTTGCCCCGTTCTATAAAAAAATATTCTCTATTATTTAAAGCATCCCGTTGAGAGGAATCCTACACGATTTGTGCACCTGTTCTATAATTATTCCTTATATACGAGTACAGCATAATATACCGAAGAACTACGAACAACTAGGCTCCAGAAGATAAAACACTCCTTAAATGGAAATTGTATTCGTTTCTACAACAAACTCCCAAGCGAAATTAGAGAATTATTACTGAATAGTTCAAAACTCTCGTTAAACGTTAATTAATCAATATTTTTTATAAATTTGACGATTATTTAAATGAATCCTTGGGATTTATTTCCAGTTCAAATATTTACGCCTTACAAACAATTTGTATGACTCAAAACTTTCCAATTAAAAAGAGTGGTGGAGAGTTTCTTGCCCGCTCTACGGCCTTGACTTGTGAACTAGTAAATGTAAATTTAGAATCAATTTAACATCTTTTCTGTTGACGTTCATAAGTGTACTTGTTTACCTAATGTGAAGAAACTCATTTTGAGTTTGAGTTTCATTAAGAAATATCCATTAAGCGACTGGGTTTGAGAGGATTGAAATAAAACACCAAGAGTCATCATGAATGTTAATTCATATTTAATAAATAAATACACTTTCGCATTTTTAAATAAAACTAATGTAAGTGACTTAGTTGTAGCAATTCTCAACAACATTATTATACAATATAAGAGACGTCGAATGCTTTTATTTCTAATAACAATAACTAAAAGATATATTAAGTAATCCTCTTCAATATACATACATAAGTTAGTAAGGTTTATATTACAGAAAAACAACACAATTGGTATCTGTATGGTAATGTGAAAATCTCGTCTCAATGCGAACACAAACCTATCTTTGGCTTCAAGCGAAATTTACAAAAGCAAACGCACGCTTCATAGAACCTCAAATTGACAGTTAAATGCCGGTAGATAATCGCTTGACAAGTTCGACCCTAAAGTTAAGATTACAAGGTTCAAAATTCAACGACAAAACCCTATATCAATTCCTTTTACATTGTAATGCATTACAATTTTTAAATATTAACGAGTGTCGACCACAGTTTAAGATAAGAGGTATACAGCGACAGTTAAAATTAACTTAGATGACTCTTCAACAACCACAAGTGACACACAGTTGTTATATTTAGCAAGCTTACTATGTAATTTCGTTTTCAATATTTGCAGTTCCAAGTTTAAGAGAATTATCTGAATCATGGTAAAATGTTATACTTATTGGAACCGGCTTTTTGCAGTACTATCGAACAAATATTCAGTCAATCAAGGAAAATTATAAAAAAGTACGTTTTTACAGAGTAACCCTGCTGTATTCTAATTATCTTGGAGTTTCAAATATACTGAAGAGAGATATGAAAATAAACATAAATAAAAATGTTATAATTATTGGAATCGGCACTTTGCAGTGCTATCCAACAAATATTCGGTCAATTAATGAAAATCCAAAAACGGTACCTAATTACAAAGTAACCCTTCAAATGTACTGAAAAAAGCAAAATTAACTTCATACATTGCTTATTCTTAAAACGGTAAAATTATTAAAATTTACTTTTGGAGTAAAATCTTTAGCGGTTGCGTAGTCGACACATTAAATTCTTACTCTAAATGGAGATTCACGTTAAAATGGACAGCGCAAAGTACAAAACGTATACAATAATTGTACGATTGGCTAAGTCAGTCGGGTTGAAAGTAGGAAACTTTATGGATAATAATTTCTTAAATATCGAATTTCAAAGAAATTATTATCAACAACAACCAAGCGGGTTTTGTTGTTCGGGCGGTTCAACTCCCGAAATTCCCGCTCAGCACGAAAGGAACCCTTTACTATCCGTATCAAATAGTAGAAATAACAAGCATATTACAAATTCAACATTAGCTAGTCAACAATCTAGGTTATATTTATTATTTGAAGATGTTCCTTAGCACAAACAATACGTAAATCGAAAATATACAAATGATTGTATGAAATACTCGAGCAGCGCTCCGTGGGAATATTTGGAACTAAACTGAACGAACATATCGTAAAACCATTTATAAGTACCAATAAATACCATTTATAAGTCGCATCGTGCTTTAGAAAGAGATACTCGCTTTGTAGAGCGTCATCTCTGTTACACGAAACACTAACAGTCCGGTATCTATTAGGCAACAGAGACGGCGCTATACGAAGCCGAAGCTAGCCGAGTATCTCTTTCTAAAGCACGATGCGACTTATAAATGGCCGAGTACTGTTAGTTAAAATCGCATTACGAGTACATTACAAAATTTGTATAGTTTGCGTTAAGGCAATGGGAAAAAGAAAATGGCGGAACATAGCTACACTAAAGATGTTTATGAAATTGTTGGATTTTTATATCAGAAACGGGACGACGATTCATAGACAATTTACCTTACTCTACGTTCTATGGTACCAAGGTAACACAGTTGTAAAAATAATCTTGAAATCGGATAAATAATATCTATAAATATACTTCTCAATGGACTGAAAGGAATGGTACGGACGACTAACAATATTTTAGAATACGAGATATTAATTTCTAAATCTAATAATTTCAACAATGATCGAGTAAATTCGTTTAAATGTGCCAGATATGGCCGCTAAAAGTTAAACCATATTTGACCTTGTGCCGAAAGTAACGTTAAACTATTGTAGTGAATTTCTCAACGTATGTACAAATTACTCTAACACCCAGCCGGGTACTTGAAACTTTTCAAACGTGCTATGGAGATTAATTTTTGGTTAACCGTTTTTGAGCCATTCTAGATTTTTGTGTCAGAACCCTGCCTTCCTTACAGCTCTATTATGTCAAGAAAAGAAAACGAATTATCAAGAAATATTCATTCCAAATTTCGTAGAAATAGTTGTCTATTTCGATCTACAGTAAATTTCATTCAAAAGATGGGCCTATCTCAGCTATCCGTTTTCCGTCAATGTAATATTAATTTTATTTTAAAATCTTCAACTAAACGCGTATAAGGTCATCTGAATCCCTAACCGGTCACCAAAGAGCAAGTCAAAAATAATGCTATCTCACTCCTTCCCATACAATTCGATTAAGTAAAAGCGAGAGGTTTGTGCTTCAGCTTTCAGAAGCTACTAAAATCTAAAAGGAATTAGGATGGCACTTGGAAACGATCGAATCCCTTCAAAGAAGATTCGATAATCGCGCAAAGAAATAGAATCAGAATCGATTTACAGAATAATCGAATAATAACCAAATCGAAGCGATTAGACTTCTGTGCTTTTGCCGACTTGGCTCTTCGTGTCGGGGATTCCCGATGCGCTCAGTTTGCGTATTCGTGCCGGGAAAATACCGCCAAATATACGCCCTGGAAAGAAAAATAGTATCAATTACATCTTATCTAAGTCTTTATTTTTAATTTATGTTATTGTTATTTAGGGAGCGTTCAAGTATTACGTAACAAATTTTGGGAGGGGGGGGTCCTTTTGTAAACGATGCGTAGATTGAAACTCAATATTATTTTTGACTTTCCAATACTTTACAGCACATAATGGTTAGCTATAAAGAGTCACTGGGTGGTCAAGAAAAGTTTAACTATTGGGTACAGAAAAACGTTACGGCGCGTTACACGGGTGGGGGGGGGGTCCACTAATCTCTAAAAATTGCGTGACCTAATACTTGAACGCTCCCTTATTACTTAAGATGTCATGATGTCGTCTACATCAACACACACAAAGCCAAAACATATTACATTGATAAACAAAGTGTATGAAACAGAAAACAAAAGTACATTAATAGACAATAAGAAAAAGAAAACTGAAATTAAACCTTAAAAAACGACAATATTAAAAAGGTGTAAAGAAACGAAAAAAAAAAGGTTTTTTCGCTTCTTAAAATATTTCCTCACATCCTCTTTTGTAAGGTGGAAAATGTCAACAACATTTAGCAATTACTTTTATTATAATGTATTAAAAATTAATTAAAAAGTTAATTTTATTTATGGGGCGTAGATCCCATACCTTATTATTCATATTATGTAACAAAACTAATAAAAAAAGGTTTAAACGAAACGTGAATCAAAAACCACTAAACCGATTTTGACTAAAGCTAGCTCAAACACCATCTCGACTTCTGCCAAGATTCTAATAAATTTGTGGACAAACATTCATACATGCACTTACGAAATCTAGCAATCATGCTCGGAAACCTAAAAAAACATACTCAAATAATATCCAATCATACAGGTGGAACTCTAAAATCCTTTTTTGAAGTCGGTTAATAAAGTGCTCGCTCACCCGGCGACCGTTGCTCGGGTGGATGTCGCGGTGACGTGGCGTGAAGAGCAGTGCGGCTTCCCTGCTGGAAGGAGACGGACATGCCGCTGTCCAGGGACCCCACTGACCCACGGCGCTGGAGCCGCTCGGCTGCGAGGGCCACTGGAATTTAGAAATGGTTTTTAGGGCTTTTTTCTTACATATGTGAAAAATTCTGCTTTTTCTTTTCTGTATACATCGTTTTGCCTTTGATAATGAATTTAAACTGATATTTCATTTTTAAATATGAAATTAAATAAAAGCCTAAAAGTATGTTTTGATATACCTCAAAGTATGTTTATGAACTAAATAAGTGAGGGCCAGCGACAAAATTGTTTAAATTACTTTAATTACTGGTAAGTACAATAATTGAGACTTAACTAAATATGAAAATTGAATCGGCCCAATATGAGATGCACAATCACTAATCTATATTATTATTACTAATTAATAATTTGACCGGTCCAACGTGAGGTATCCGATCAAAGCTGTTGGTATCTGTTGTCCATTTCCTTTTAAAACATTTTTTATTTTTAAATATTCCTATTTATGTTGTGTATACTTATGATTTATACAAATTTATGTTTTGTGTTGTCAAGGATTGATTCTGTATCTAAAAGTATTAGTGTGATAAATAGTTATGAAAACAAAAATTTCTTCTGAAATTTCAAATCTTTTAATACATACCAGGATCGTTGATGTCAACCAGGGAGTTGCTGAGAACATTCCTCTTGATGACTGCGGTAGGGGGACAGCCTCCACCAGGCGGGCGTGGGGCCATGGGGGCAGGGCACGAGGGGGGCGGGGGCACCACGCTGGAAATGTTGATTATTCGTTTTAATTTATTTTTCAATTCCAATAAAATTATATTTAAATAACATATGAGGTTTAATTATGAAACAACTAAAAATAAAAAAAAAATTACCCGTGAGCATGCATGTGATCAATACATTGTTGGTGATCGATTTCCACATCTGCTACTCCACTGTCACGATTCTCCATAACTGAAATGTCATTAGTTAAATGAGCCAAAACCATCATACAATTTTTTTTTGCTGTAATATTACTTAAAATTCTAAAAATAATTAGATTTTCCTTCTCTTTTAGAAGTACCTAAAAACTCTGTCACTAAAACAATATTTAACTATACTCAGATTTTTTATTCCGAGTGACAATTACGTCCCTTTTCATCACAAACAGTAAAAAACGCACAAGTTAAAATAACATTTTATTTTATTAAAAAGGTTTACTAAACCTGGAATTAGTAGGCAGTGATGCCAGCTAAAGAATAAAAGTAATTAAAGCTAATTCGATATATTGTTCGTGATATTGAAATATTTGTTATTTTTGTATTAGGTCACTTGAGTAAGCAAATATTTAGATTTACCTTTTTGTAGGTAAAACATAAAAAGACATAGCATTCTATTTTTTATTGCCCTCAAATGGGTCAAATTTGTCCCATTTTCAGACACGGACTTTTTCTTTTTTAGTAGCAACACTTATGAAATGTCAGAATTGTACGGAATGAAAAATCATAAGTATAAATTATAAACGAAGCCTAATAGTAATAAATACAATTTTTTTTTAAATTTCGAAAATCAACTCACCATTTCTAGCACTATTATTCGTACCCCTACCCTTTCCCCTATTCAATTCAGCTTCGATCCTCATGGCCTCCATTTCATCCATTTCCGCGATGCTCTCGCGAAGGTCTTCAGCGAATTTGCAACGGTCGTGCTCGTTACGCGCATTGAATGTTGCCAGTCTGCGGCCGTCCACGCGACGGGATAGACGTATGCCGAACGGGTAATCTGGATCGAAGGACCATTTTATGTTTTTTATTGATTTATATAATTTCTTATGGATTTTGTTATTGTTAAATAGTTACAATTATTTCAATTAAACATACTAACTTGTTTTAGAACACGTTTAGTATGTAAATATTCCTATATATTAATAAAGTTACTTACGTGGAACCGAGAAGAGATTCACCAGCATCGCGCACAGCGGGAATGACTGCCTGAACGTGTAGGTCACTGACGACTTCTTCTTGCTGAATATCTTGGTTATTACCAGAAGATCATTGAATAGGAACACCTGTTTTATAAAAAAGTAGCTTCATATACGTATCTTTTGAAAGAGGTTATAACTTTTTTTTTTATAGAAATAAAGTTTTAAAACTTTTAATATTAGTTTCTAAAATAACTATAGAGACTCTGAGTACATATTTTGTGCTGTTACTAATATGTATTAAAATATGAAAGATGGCACTGGGCATTGAATCTAGAAGGTCCAAATGTACGTATTATGATACAAAATCGTAACTTTTGAATATAAATAAATACCTCTCTCTGATGCACCCCCGGTCGTTCCTTCTTATGTATGTCAGGTATTTCATAGAGACGGCAATAGCACACGAGGCGACGGTGAGGAAGGGCCAAGTGCGGCTTCTTGCCCACTATCGTAGCTTGGACTTTCATCACCTGAAAATATTCAAATAAATAGATTAATTACATTCTTTCTAATTCGTTCTTTAATACATATTTCATATGGAATTTTAAGAACCTAGTAGCCTTATAAATATTGTTGAGAACATATTTTTCGTCAGGTTATTTTAGGAATGTAAAAAGGCAAAGCCTCTCAGGGTCTTTCACTTAGGTTTAATTAGATTAGTTAAACTAAATCTGTATTTCAGAATAGTATGTGTGCATCTTAATATGGAATACACATCATTTAACTAATTTTTTAATAAAATTTGCATGATTTGAACCCACTATCCCAGAAATTCTGGGAAAAAAATTGTTTAGTAAAAGCGGCTCCGCTGGTGCGTGCTTGTGATTATGTTTGATTTTGAATTCATATACAATGTTTATTTTTGTCCAATATTTCTTATTTTTTAGCATAGCCTGCAATTGTCAACTGTTTAGGTTCTGTCAGGTTGGGGAAAAAATACATTTTAGATAGAAAAATAGCCCTTATCACCTGAGTAACATGATCGCTGCCGGGTCTAAATTCGCTTGACTTCACCCGCTCATAGATTCCAG